CGTCGTAGGCTTGTGCATGGCAGATGGCCTCGCGGCTGCTGACCTTGACGGCGTACACGGTGGGGACTTCCTTGCCGTAGATGATACCGAGAGGAGGGTACGCGTTGGCCTCTGATAGTGCTGGGTCGAATTGTGTTTCTTGACGGAATCTCTTGACCTCGGCAAGGGTACGCTCGAGGTAGGCAATGTTTCTGGCGCGGTTGGGGGGCGTAGTTATGCCAGATGCCCCCTTTGTGAATGGCGACGGTTTGTTGCCATCTATCTGTGGGTTGATGCCTCCTTCGCGGACGTGCTCTACCCTCCGGGCCGCATCGGTTACTGATGGCGGCAAGACATGGTTTTGTTTCTTCTCGCTTGAGCTGCGACTGCGGACCGACAATAGAGAGCTGAACGTTGTCGACTTTTCCTTTGGTACTAGGGAAGGTAGCGGAGGCTCAATACATGGTGTGAGACGATATTTGATCCATTCGTTTACGTCGTGAAAGTCGATATTGTACTCTTCCTTCGTGTCCTTATTGACGAAACAGAAGCCGTCATCGGGCAGAAACACGAAGGATGTTCTGAGTGAGAAGTTGACCTGCGCAGTCAAGATCTTCTCATTGAGGAGGACTGCGTCGCCGTCTCTTAGGGGCCCCAGGACGTTGATGCACCGCTGAGGTGTACCAACGTAGACCACTCCGGAGAACAGATCCGGTCTCTGGTTGACGACGTGGCGGGTGATGAGACCACCGAGACTGTGGGCCAAAACAAGAGCACCTCTGGGCTCTTTCGAATCCGCCTGGTTGCATGGCAGCTTTTCCAAGAACTCAACCATTTTACGTGATAGTAGATGAGGGCTCAGTCTCCAGTCGTAGCCATAATCATGTAAACGTAGCTTTCCTTTCCGAACGTTTTCGCAAGCGGCAATCTTCTTGAACAACTTTCTAGAAATGTCGATTGGGCCGATGTTCTGGAGCATGCCTGACGGGATGATGCGCTCTTCCATTGACTCTTCGTCTTCGGGGTCAAGGCCAACCTCCAAGTCCGCCTTCCTCATGTTGAGTCCGATTTTGACTGGAGCCCATAGTTGGTGGTGCGGAGGCTCTGCTGATCGTAGAATCGAACCACGGTAACCACCCAGAATTACTATATCCCCAGTCAACGTCTCCAGCACTCTGTCTAGAGTTGACAGTCCGTCGTTGTCGACTTTGGGTGCTGGGGCTTCAGGGATTGTCTTGCCCGTTGCGTCTTCGTTGAGTTTGAGTGACGATCCAAGTTTGGGTAGGCTTGGCATTTTGAACGTTGGTCTTTCGGGCAGACTGTCTTTGATTGCCTTCATCCTCACATTGGCCATTTCTCTGACGTGATCAAACCTGCCATCGTCATCCCCAATAGAGGATGTGCGGGATAGCGAGTGGTACAGCAGCGAATCATCGGATGTAACTCGTCTCAAAACACGGGGCCTTGTGGTAGAAGGTCTCCCAGATGATACAGACGGACGATTACCGGATGCTTCATTGGCCATCGTCTGCGCACGAGGAAGACCGTTGGCACCGCTGGACATGGCAGCTGTGCTGTTATAAGGCCTTCTACTCTGGCCCAGGGGAAATTTCCGCTGTTCGGTCGTCGTCGTCGTCGTCGATTTCGGCTCCACCTTCTCTGCGGCGGCAGTAAAGAAGGATAAAGAATTGAAGATTGCCGAAGGAGCCGGGAACGAAGAAAAAGCATTCGAAAACTTCTTTAGCGCATCAGCTCCCGTGGAAGATGAGCGTTTATGTCTGGTTTGACCAAAAGATATGGATTCGAGGGCGGTCTTGGGCGCTTCGCCGTCCCCACCACCAAATATCATGTTCCGTGGACTCGACTGCCATGGTGAAGGCAGGTCTTCCTTTGGGGCTGGCCTAGCTTTTTGGAGCTTTTGAGACTCCCGTCTGCGAGGCGGCGCCGGTGAGATGGGAGTGTCCGACTCGGTCTCGAAAGTGGTAGGAATCTCATCGGGGAAGGGCGTTAATTCTGGCGAGCTAGCGGAATCGTCACTACTCGTATTACCAGGCAGGAAGAGTCCGGACGACTTCCTTTCCCTCTCTCTCTCCAATGCAGCAGCCTTTTCAGCTTTGGATGTTTGTGGTAAAGTGAGTCGGGTTGCAGCAACACTCAATGCGGGTTGCATAACGGACTGGGCGCCATCTTGGTCATCGTCACCATACACTGGATCTTCAGATGGGACTTTTTCTAGGATCGGAGACGGAGACCTCCTCCTTTCACTGACGCCTTCTTTTTGAGACATAGCTACCATTATGAGGTTCTCCGTCAAACGTGCTGAGAAATCGAGGTGCCGGATCGCGGGGTGTATAAGAGTTATAAAAGTCGCAATTTGCAGCCGGGCGTTCCGGGTGTTAGCTCAATGGCACATGCTCAATGGCCTTTTTGGGAAGAGCGAGAGTGGACACCAGCTGGTGCTGCACCGAGGTCAGTACGGGAGATTGACCTGAACAAGAGGTCAAAACCGACAAGGCGAGGTAAAAGAGGACCTCAAGAGTCTGGGGAAAAGCTGGGTCGAGGGCTATATGGCGGCCCAGTCAAGGGGGAAAGGATAGAAATGTGCCTTGTTGAGGTGTAGGGCCTTTAGGTTGTGTGTGACGAGATGGTAGCGTTTAGAAACGATGATTCAGTACAACACTCCGATCTGAGAAGACGTAGATTTGACAATGACGAACCAGATAATTGGAGCAGGGGTAGGGAAGCACTGCGTAGGTGATATAAGAAGGAGAAGCTAAGGGAGCAGTAGTAGTAGGGTGCGTAAGGTAGTCGTACCTTTCTACTTAGAAAAGTAGAGTACCTAACCGCGTATCTATACGGAGGGTAGGCAACCCACGTGTGCCCACTTGTTCCCGTCCTACCCATCCGTACCTTTGGACTAAGGAATGTACCTTACCTTTGACGTGCGTGCGTGCCTTGCCTTGACAGAAAACTCGATTAAGGAAAGGCAAGGTACCACCCTCGCCTCAGTCCGAGGTGTGGGTAATAGCCAACACACACGACCGCACAACCTGAAGAATGGAAGCATGAAAGGGAAGCTTGCTGATGTTCTTCCCGCTGTGTACCGTAGTAGTTGCGTAGACGGTAGGTGCTAAAGAGCAAAGACCAGAAGTCTGATATGCACAGAGCTGCGCCTCCCTCGCCCGAGAACCAGGGGCATCCTTCTCGGGAGTACATCGAATAGATCTCCGGCAGGAAGGGGCTCAGGCTCAGGCTGCCAAATATCGAATGCGGCTAGACTAGAGATCGCTGTGTCTTCATCTCACAGCTGTTTCTTCCGCGCTCGACCGACATTTGCTTCCCAATTGCCATACCGGACCGTCCTTTCTGTCAGAGAGGCACGGATAACGGCAATAAGTGGGAGAGTTCTTGCGCAGACAGCTGTGCTTTTGCTCTGTCAAGGCCAGTGTGCGGGACGTGGTCTTGGAAGAAGCCAAGCACATGTTCTTTTTCTTCTTCGTCTTCGTCTTCTTCTCCGCCGTTGCGCTGTTTTGCATCAGGGGCGCTCTGGACGATCCAACCGCTAGGTGTCCCTCGTTCTAGGATGAGACCGCGATTCGAGTAATGCTTGTTTTTTTAGGTGTAGTACTCCGTAGTCAGCGGGCGTATCTTTTTTTCCAAGGTTCTTGCCTCTTTCTTCCATTCTCTGCCCAATGCCACTGACATAATCACATGCGCTGTCTGCGTCTTAGCTCCCGCCCCACCATGTCTTAGCCACCAATTGGAACCTGCGTCATTGGCCAATGCCTATAGCCCACTTGGTCGGCCGGCAGCAACGGACCCTGCGGCACCCGATGATCCGGCATTGCCATGTCGATCGGCCCAGTCAGCTTGTCAAGCTTTCCTGTCGATTTCCCTGGTTGACTTTGATGCCTATAATTGTGGAGGGGGTATGGAGAATTACTATCAGCGCGAACGGGTACAGGTGGACTGGGAGAATACCAATTTCACATGTGTCGATATAAACACACAGCGTCAACTCATCATGAATGCATAAATGCGGTCTAAGGAGGAGATGGGTATCTATACCTCTTTGCCTACCGGACATGCCTGCCTTAGGTACAGTACATTAAAAAAAAAAAACACAATCTCGGGTATCTGAGAACATGCGGATATAAGGTGTTATTAGCAAAAGTAAGCTCGCTCAAATGGCCTGATGGTAAACTCAAACTCGCAAACTTCGAGGCTCGAGGATTCAGATTGGCCTGCTTGGACGTTCCATGGTGATTCCAGATTCCGGATTCTTAAGGTACTTGGACTGATCTGATGTACGGCACGCCCAACGCAGCAATCTATACCGAGCCATCCAGCACGAAGCACGTTTCCACGCTCCGTGGCTTCCAGTTCCACCCACGGACGGATCTGGAGCTTCAGTGCTGTTTGGGCAGAGGTGGACTTTGGCCTTTGGCCTTCCCATCAGATAACATTTCTTATCGCCCCACTAATTACCAGACACATCTGCAGGTGCAGCTAAAGACCTTACCCGCGCTTGCACCTGCATCTCCGAGGCGCCTTTGTACCTATGAGGGACGTCATTGCCAGGCCAAGCCGCCAACCCAATGGAAAGCCTTCACCCGCCAGCGACCGCGACTGCCATGTTGGCCCGGCTTCAGTGTCGCATCCCTGCCCCGCGAAATCCAATGCACCGTCCGCGATTTGCAGTATGGAGTACGTAAGGAAAGCACAAGGTACCTACCCAAATGCCCTCCAGCATCCAGGGAAGGACAAGGTAAGGTAGCTCAAGGAGGCTTAGACCAAACCGCCTCGCCAAACAGATTCCCCCAACGTCTTGTCACAAACACATACAGTTCTCGAGCTTCGTTTCCCACCCTCCATTGCCATTGTCGTCGTCCCATGCATTACCCTGTTTGTTGAGCTTACTCATTGTGCTCCCCCCGGCAGGCCTCGTCGCGCAAGCATTCCTCCGGGCTCCCTGATCTCCTCCATCTACCTATCCGAGCCGTAGAATAATCTCCGAAGCTATGACTACCCTTGAACCTCGCCAACCTTACACCGACGCCGAGCTGCGCCAGCTGTACCCTCCACAGCTCAAGCTCCAGCTCGTGCAGATCCTTCTCCGGCACGGCGAACGAACTCCCGTCAACCCTCGCTTTTCCAACACCGGCCTTCCGGAGTATTGGCCCTATTGCAGTGTTGTTCGTCACCTCCGAAATGCTGTTCTCGATCCGGACACCGGTGAATACTCATACCTCGATTGGAAGAGACGTCTCGAGGGATTCGGTTCTAAAGACGATAGTCCTGTAATCGTTGCCGGCCCCAAGGGCGAGCTTGACGATATCTGTGATCATGGCATGCTTACGGACCGCGGCCGAGAGACCACCCACCAACTAGGCAAACGCTTTCGTGATCTCTACGTTGATCGACTCAGCTTCTTGCCCACAGACCTCACCGACGCGGAGTCTCTTTATCTTAGGTCAACGCCGGTCCCGCGAGCTCTGGAGTCTCTTCAACAAGCCATTTCTGGCCTATATCCGGCTAGGCATCGGGCACCCGATCTCCCCGCACTCACGATCCTAGGGCGGGTACAGCCAGACGAGACTCTCTTTCCCAACGAAGGCCACTGCCGGCGATTCAATATTCTCGCCCGCGCATTCGCCCAGCGGACTGCCGAGCGCTGGAACAATACTCCGGAGATGGGCTACTTGAACAAGAAACTCGGGAAATGGATGGAAGATGGTAAACTCATTGCAGTTGATTCTAAGCCTAGGCTTAGTGGAATCATGGATACCATCAACGCATCACGCGCACACGGCCCGAAGACGAAGCTGCCCTCGGAGTTCTACGATCCCAAGGTACTCTCCATTATTGAGAGAATTGGTGTAGAAGAATGGTATAGCGGATACGGCGAGAGCCAGGAGTATCGCACACTTGGCATAGGTGGCTTGATGGGCGATATTGTCGCTCGTATGGTCGGAAGCGTCGAACACAGTCCGGCAGATGGCGCCTACGAGATCAAGCAAGCTAGCGCAGCTCCCAAGCCTATCAAGTTTGGTATGAGTGGCTGCCATGATACCACTCTTGCGGGTATACTAGCCAGCCTGGGTGCCTTTGGTCCAGACAAATGGCCTCCTTTCACGAGCCACATCGCTGTTGAGATGTTCCGCGATCCCCAGGTTTCATCAATTCCAACGCAGGCACCCAAGAATGCGAGCTGGTTCGGCTCATGGTTCTCCATCGGCCGTGCTGGTACACCAGCGCCGGGTACGGCTCCGCCAGGCATTGGCCGTAGGCCGACCCCCGCATTGACAGATGCCGAGAAGAAGCAGCTAGACGGTTACTACGTAAGGCTTCGGTACAACGATGAGCCGGTGATCATCCCCGGCTGCAAGGCTGCTGGCAACCATCTTGAAGGTGATGAGTCCTTTTGTACTCTGGTAAGCTCCCAGACCTCGTTTGTGAAGTGATTGGTGTGGCTGACCCGGGCCCAGGCCGCCTTTAAGTCCATTGTCGACAAGTACACACCTGTTGACTGGAAGAACCAATGTCGTGGGAACCATGATGCGTCCGCCTTTCCGGTCAAGCCCGAGCCGGCAGGATATTAACGGTTTTCAGAGCCGCTAAGTTTTACCAAAGTTTATTATTGAGAAACAAGCAGTGGTAATTACTACATAGGATAGAGAAGAAAGTGCTTTGTGCATAGACGAGTGGCAGGTCACCGCATCCTGAGTAGCGTCACGATCTACATAGAACCATTGCTTTTCTGTTGAATTTCCTCTTTTTCGTTAATGTTTGGGTTGAGTGTGCCAGGGACCATCCTTAAAGGGCGAAGTTATGTACTCATGTAACATGTCTGTTTAGAGCTAGAGATCTCCCAAAGCCCAGGATCATAAATGGGTTTTAAAGACCTTTGAACCAGAAGCTTGATGTTTCATCACACAATACAGAGACATGTGTGATAATGTCTTATGTTAACTGTGGCCGATCTTTTCATGGTGGGATTTTAACAGGTGCCAAGATCTCAAGGACATCTCGCCATCTCACGTCGTCCTTGGAATCTACTTGCTCAAGACGCTTCGCGGCGTTTGGAAGCCAGCCTTAGCATGCATGCTCGGACAACGGACGAGTGATATCTGCACGCCATACTGGGGTCTAGTTCTGTCGAGCTACGCCCGGATTGCGCTAGATCCTGAGCATTACGATTGTTGCGTGCTGTAGGGCTGGGAAGTAAGAGTCTATTGTCCGTTACTTCGTGATCTTCCGGTGTGGAAAGTGGCGCTTGCTGCCTCAAGATGCTGAATGTAAGTAAGATATGAAATGAGACGCCAGTGTAAGCGGGCTATTGTTCTGAAGAACGACCCTCTCACGAGCCGTTCATTACGCGTTTCCGTGAGCAAAATGTAGGCAAGCTGGTGATGAAGGGCACCGTATCCTAAGAGCATCGGTAGTGGTTTGGACATGGCTAGGAGATTGCGGTCCTGTCTAAGATACTGTCAATGAACAGAGCTAGACCGCATGAGTGCGACGAGGCAGGTCATCAGAAATCATATTCCTGAGTCATTTTCGATTTTAACAGACAAGAAGGCTGTCGTCCTCACTGCATAGTGCCCAAGAATTCGGCGCTCGATATAATCTATGATCCTTTGCTTAACACAAGGAGAGAAATCAGTTAGAACGGGAAAAGTGAGGAGGCCGCCAGGAGCGGCAGAACGCGCCAACGGTAGAGGGCCATAGCTCCAGACATCGCGGGGTAGAATGTCTCGAAAGAGCCAAGCTCCAAAGCGATATTCAACTACAAAGTCTCTAACAACAAGAGAAGCCGGCACGATCTTCCAGCCAACTCAAAGACACCAGACGCCACTGCGGGGTCCGTCGATTCGCCGGGAGCACGTGGAGACACAGTTGGACCAGCCAAGCAGTTGGCCAGCTGCAGGTAATATCGCGGACCTCAGCTGGTGATGGTGTCGTTGGCGCTGGCTGGGAGGTACATAGTTTCTGCACCTTGAGAGACCGCAGGGCACAGTCAACCCCTGTCGAGCTGGCGGGTGGGGTACCGCCGTACCGGAGCCCAGGCCGATCCACCGTCCCCATCCAACCATTGGATGCACAGGTGGGGTTCCAAGTTGACGTCGCCGGCAGCGCCGAATCCGTGGGAAGAAGTCCCAACTGTCCCAATCTTTTCGTCAGGTTACTTCTCGGAAGGAAATGAAATGAAAGGAACCTTAGATGGCGAAAAGGGGGAGGGGAGGGAGCCCGATTCGTGTCGTCCACACCAGCAGCGCTTCCCGATGTGCCTGCTTCCAGGACCAATGTGATGCCATGCCGAGAAAAACCGGGTAATTCTACCTACTGCAGTATTACATGCTGCCTACTGCAGCAGGAACAAGATGCCAGCTCCCTCTTGGTACCGTCCCATGTTTGCTTAAATCAGGTTTTCTTGGCAAAGCTAGCGTGGCCAGAGCTCTCGAAGCTCGACAACCTTGCCTTTCTTAGCTGTGGCGGGGTTACAGAGTACAACGACCAGAGACATCGAGAGTAGTGTCACCGGCTTTCCTGCGGATGAGACTATTGCGTGCCTTGCTCGCACATCATCGCTGGTACGTTGGCGTTGCCGACACGTCAACTGCAAGTCGCAGTCGTTACGCCCGTCAGGAAAGATGGTGTTTCTCGATCCCACCTTTCCATCTTGGAGATGCGTTAATGTGTCTCCGGAATGACGACATAATGGTGGACCATGTGCCAGTTACCCGAGCCCTTCAACTCGGTACCAAACCTCGAGATGATAGCTAATGTCTTGGTTGCTATCGATTCCTCAGTTACGACAAGACGCAAAGGACGGCATCAACTCCCACTCATGACGATACTTGCTAGGCAAAGGATATGAGCGCTTCCTTCTCTTTTGCCCGCTCATCTCTCGGAAAGGGAAAATCAAGGATCTCGCAGTCCACTTTCATACAGTTCCATCCCGCAGCCTGGTCCTGCCCTGCCCGCTTGACCATCTAAGACACACCCCTTCAAAGCTGATGGACAGCATCTTGGCCTAGTCCAACTTTGTCCTAGGAGGGACGCATACACAAATGCTTCTCCAATTGACGTGCCAAGTGGCGCGACATGGTCCAACGTCTCCCAGATTACCGCCCCATGGTGGTCCCCATCCTCCTTCAGCTAGGCAAGGCAAAAGACCGGTTTCTCAGAGTGAACAACCAAGCTTCCCACTACACATCTCGTTCCTTCTTTCCCGGCCCCCAACTCCCGAGTTCCCAACAGGCGGATGACGGGGTTCCGGGTATGGCGTAAACGTACATCTTCCTAGCGTGCGACCCTCGCTCGATGGACCACTGTCTTGTCGATCGAGGAGGGTCCCGAGGAGTCCTACGGGGATAGGAGGGGATGGATGGTTGGAATAACAGGGTCCAACGCATGTGGGAGTGTAATTGGCATCATGGCTCAGCCTGAAGTCGATCTGGATTCTTAAATACCCTTCGAACCCCTCAATCTCACCGAACGTGATTATAGCTTAGCATAATCTCATCATCATCTCATCTCAACTCATCTCAACTCATCTCACAACCAAAAACCACCTCCCGATCTTCACACATCATGTCTTACGGCGGCAACGACGACGTAAGTAGTATATCTATGCTATGCTTACTCCCAAAGCTGGCCTTACTAACACATGCCCAGTCCAACTACGGTTCCTCCCGCAGGGACAACGAGGACAGCTACGGCACCTCGGGAACCACCGGCGGCTTCGGCTCCTCCACCCGCGACAACGAGGACTCGTACGGCTCCTCGCGCCGTGATAACGACAACGACAACAGCTACGGCTCCTCCAACACGGGCCGCAGCGGCAACGACTCGAGCTACGGCTCGTCGACCCGTCGTGACAACGACACCTCGGACAGCTACGGCTCCTCGGGGCTGAGCTCGTCTCGCAGGGACAACGATACCTCGGACTCGTACGGCTCTTCTCGCCGCGACAACGACAATGACAACAGCTACGGCTCTTCCCGCAAGTCGGACAACAACACCTACGGCTCCGGCAACAAGACCTCGTCCTACGGAGACGACTCCACCTCCTCCAACCTCGCCGGCGCCGACTCCCTCTCATACGGCAACACCAGCTCCAGCCGCCGCGACAACGACAACTCGGACAGCTACGGCTCCTCCGGCAACACTGGATCCTACGAATCTTCCCGCAGGGACAACGACAACGATAACAGCTACGGCTCCTCCACCACCCGCCGTGACAACGACGACAGCTATGGATCGTCAGGTAACACCGGCTCCTACGGCTCCTCCCGCAAGGATAACGAGGACAGCTACGGCTCCTCCGGTAACACTGGATCCTACGGCTCCTCCCGCAGAGACAACGACAACGACAACAGCTACGGATCGTCTGGCAACACGGGATCCTACGGTAGCAGTGGCAGGGACAACGACACCTCCGACTCGTACGGCAGCAGCAACAAGAGCGGAGGCGACAGCAAGGTCGGCAAGTTCCTCGAGAAGGCGGGTGATCTGCTCAACAGCGACAAGCTCGAGTCCAAGGGCCAGTCGAAGCGTGAGAACGCCGGGTACGGGAACAACAACGATGACTACTAGATGTTGCTAGTCTAGCAGCCCTGTCGTTGGTTTGTATCGGGATGTTTGACGTGGAAAATAGGACTTTGTCTTGAAGGGGATGCTTCTGATGCGGAAGCTCCTTTTCATCTTTCGATGATGATTATGTACTAGCGAGCTCTGAATGAGATATCAATACCATTTGAACACCACCTACCTATCATCTTATTCAACATTAACAAGTGACAAATAATAGTGTCTTTACATTGTTGTGCTCGATTATTCACGTCGGAAACATCATGCTTCTTCGGTTTCGCTGCTTGTTTGCGTCCCGCAAAGTTCAGATTAAGTTGTGCCGAGCTGAGATCGACACCAGATTCTCTGGTGTTTAACGGAGCTTATTTGTTGATGAGTGATCCGATATGAATCCATATTTACACAGTTACCCAGAAAGTGAAAGCCACAATCTGCTAATAATGCTCCAATTTGAATGCTAATAATGCTACGCTATGGAAACACCTCGACCCATTCAAACCACCGCCCTCCCAAGAGACGGGAAGGGGGCCAACAAAACTCACGTCAACTTCTTGGTAACCCTCACAAGCACAACCCCGTCCGTCAACCGTCCCTCGCAATCCATGAGATGCACAAACCTATACCCGGCCCTCAACCGATCCAACCGCACCGCCGCCCACGCAGCCAGATCATCCCGCCCAATCTCATCGTCCCTAACGGTGAACCTCACAAACGTCAGCGCCTCGACCACGCCCGGCACCCCTGCGAACTGCAAGCTCTCCCCCTTGAAATCCGGGTCGACGCCGCGGTTCGACTTGGTCTTGGCCTTGTACTCGCCCTCGCGCTCGCGGCCGTCGTCCTTGATGTGTGCACCCGGGAGACGCTCCTCGGGGGACTCGACGTGGATTTCGACCTTGACGTAGGGTTTGAAGCCCGAGATGCGGGTGTCGCCTGGCGGGAGGGGCAGGTTCTGGGCTGCGAGGACGTCGATCTGCAGGTCGAGGGTTTTGTAGGTGATTTGTGGGGT